CATAGTTACTTTTATAGATGATTATTCTCATTTCTGCTATGTATACTTGTTACATTCCAAGGATGAAGCCCTTGATAAATTCAAAATTTTTAAAAATGAAGTTGAATTGCAACAAAATGATTTAATCAAAAGACTTCGCACTAATCGTGGTGGAGAGTATTATGTTCCTAGTTATTTCCAGTATGTTGGTATTATACATGAAATAACTGCTCCATATACTCCTCAACAAAATGGGATTTCTGGAAGGAAAAATAGAGTTCTAAAGGAAATGGTGAACTCTGTGTTGTCTTACTTAGGTTTGAGTGATGATTTTTGGGGAGAAGCTATACTAAATGCTTGTTATCTTTTAAATAGAGTTCCATACAAAAGGAACAAGATAAATCCTTATGAACTTTGGTACAAAAAGAAACCAAACTTAGGAGATCTTAAAGTTTGGGGTTGTCAGGCTATTGTGAGGATGATTGAACCAAAAATGAAAACTTTGGGTGAAAGAGGTATTGATTGTATCTTTATTGGATATGCTGAGAATTCCAAGGCTTACAAGTTTTATGTTATAGAACATAATACTTCTGTTTCTGTTAATACTATAATAGAATCTAGAGATGCAATATTTGATGAAAAAACATTTTTCATCCATACCTAGACCAAAAGACTTGGTTTCTAGTTCCAGTGGGACTACCAAGGAAGTTGTACCTGATTCAAATGAATCTCCTGATCTTAGAAGAAGCAAGAGACAAAGGAAATCTAAATCGTTTGGTAATGATTTTCAGCTTTACCTAGTTGAGGGTTCTTGAGATAAAATTGCAAATCAATATTCATATTGTTTTAGTGATGAAGAGGACCCTAAAACATTTGATGAAGTAATGAAATCTCAAGATGTTGCTTTCTGGAAAGAAGCAATAAATGATGATATGGATTCCAACATGGGAAATAATATTTGGGTGTTGTCTGATCGTCCTCATGGATGCAAACCTTTGGGTTGCAAGTGGATATTCAAAAGGAAGATGAAATTTGATAGATCAATTGATAAATTTAAGGCTCGATTGGTAATTCAAGGTTTTAGACAAAAACCTCTATTTTGACACTTCTGCTACAGTTGCTCGTCTATCTACCATTAGACTACTAATTTCTTTAGCAGCGATTCATAATTTGGTGATTCACCAAATGAATGTTAACACATCATTCCTGAATGGTGATTTAGAGGAAGATGTGTATATGAAACAACCTGAGGGTTTATTATGCTTGGAAATGAGCATAAGGTGTGCAAATTGTTTAAATCATTGTATGGGCTGAAGCAAGCACCAAAACAGTGGCATCAGAAATTTGATGATGTTGTCTTGTCACATGGTTTCAAGTTGAATCAATCAGAAAAGTGTGTATACAACAAGTTTGATGAGTCTGCATAAGGAGTGATCATATGCTTATATGTATATGATATGTTAATCTTTGGTACTAATCAAGGGCAAGTTGACATGACCAAAGAATTTTTATCATCTCAGTTCTCCATGAAGGATATGGGGGAGGCATAAGTGATTCTTGGAATAAGAATCAAGCATGAGAAATCTCAATTTCATAGTCTCTTTATATTGAGAAAGTTCTTAAGATGTTTAATTGTTTTGATTGTTCTCCTGTAAGTACATCTTTGGATCCAAGTATGAAACTTATTCCTAATACTGGTGAAGCAGTTTCATAACTTAAAAATTCAAAGGTGATTGGGTGTTTGATGTATGCTATGACCAGCACAAGTCCTAATATTGTATTTGTTGTAGGGAAGCTAAGTAGGTTTACTAGCAATCATAGTACTCATCGCTGGCAAGCAGTAAGGAGGGTGCTGAAGTATCTTAAGAAAACCATGGGATTTGGTTTGACTTATGTAGGATTTTCTTCAGTTATTGAAGGATATTCAGATGCTAGTTGGATCACTAATTATGAGGACCACTCTTATACAAATGGTTGGGTGTTTCTTCTTGGTGGAGGTGTCATTTCATGGGCTTCTAAGAAACAGACATGCATCATAAATTCAACTATGGAATCTAAATTTATAGCCCTTGAAGTTGCTGGAAAGGAAGCAGAATGGTTAAGCAATTTGATATATGAAATTCCTTTGTGGTCAAATCCTATATCACCTATCTGTATACATTGTGATAATGCTGCCACCTTGTCAAAAGCATATAGTCAAGTGTATAATGGAAAGTCGCGACATTTGGGTGTTAGGCACAGTATGGTACATGAGATAATTACTCATGGTATCATTTCTGTTGAGTTTGTTCGATCTCAAAAAAACTTAGTTGATCACTTAACGACGGGTTTGGCTAGATACTTGGTAACAAAGTCGGTTATATGGATGGGTTAATGGCCCACTTGATATCTCTATGGGTGACATACCAATTCCCTTCTAATACAAGGTTAGAAGTTGAATTGGATGTGGAAAGCTTGCTTATGGAGATTAAAGGACATTTAGTTTACTACATCCCAAGGTATGTGCTTATAGCATGTATTGTTAAAGTAGGTTGATTAAGTTCTTAATAGTTCTTTAATTTGAAAAAGTGCATTAATATGTGCATGATATAGAAGGACTACCTATGTGAGTGTGAAGTGTTGCCACTTCAGAAAGCTTGGGCTAGGCTTTTATGCACTCATAAATGGATTGGACACATGGTTGTAATAGCATAAAGTATGAAACATTAGATATTATGTTTAACTTATGTGTATAGTATCTTCAGTTACTTAAATAAGTTGAAGGGTTCAATCCTTAGGATACCTGATTCTCGAGTATTTGAAATGTATATTATACTAATGAGAAAATTCAATCTTCAAGACATTTTCATTTATGCATAAGTTTGATTTTGTGTTTGCTTTTAGTTAATTAACAATTACACTAAAATGGGGGAGGAATGTTGGTGATTTTAGTGTTATCAACATATTTTGGTGTAATTATTATTAATAATGAGATAGGTTGAGCTCCATTTACTAACTGAGGTTGAAGGTGCAGGGTGCACACTTGGAATGATAAATGTGAACTCGAGAATACGGGGGTCCGGGGGCAGTGCCCCTGGGTGCAAGGTTCCAAGGGGTTGCAACCCCTTGGCGGGGTCTAGGGGCAGCGCCCCTTACATGGTCCAAGGGGAAGAGCCCCGAGCGATGATCCCTCGAAACCTAAACGGATTTTTACTTCGGGTATGACTCCAGCCATGCAATTTCCCGCCAAAAACCCTCTGATGACCTCATGATGATGTAGGTATCGGTTGTGTCCAATAACTACCATGTTTTGGCGTCAGTTTTGGTTTAACTGATTTTAACCATGTTTCCCTCAAGTATTAGAACTTTTCTCTAGTATCAGAAGAAGGGTTGAACATTCATATACACGAAATTATATCATAATTTCTCTATCTCTCAAGAACACATCAAAGCAAGGTATTATGTGTTTGCAATTCGAATTAGGCTTGTAATTCGAATTGGTTTATTCTTGGATTATCCCATTACTGAATTCGTGTACCCCAGGCAAAAGGGACGAATTACAAATTTCGAAAAGTGTTTGATAATCACGATCCTTGAATCTATCCAAGTCTAATTTAATTATTATTATGTCTCCTTATTTTTCTAATAGTTTTCTCGTTTCCTTGTTCATCAAGGGTTTCTCATGTATTTATATCGTTGGATGAATGAAAAGCATTATTATTGATCCATCAAAACTTTTAGAAATTTGCCTATCAACGCAGTTGAGAGACCCATACCCCATAGTCTTACTACAATGCACGTTCAATGTCTTCTTTAATTTATAAGGTTTAATCTTTGTTTAATTATGAATTTAGCTCCAATATTTGTACATTGTCTAATTGAAAATTCAATACCATGAGCAACTGTGTACGACTGTATGTGTTCGGCAAAAGATTTTAGGGAAAATGACTTGCGATGGTAATTATCATTTCGTCTTGTTCACGTTTAGGTAACTTCATTTTTTTTGTACATATTTGACAATTTAACTTGTTAAATGTGTTCACATATTACCATTGTCACCTACTATAACAGGTGACAATGGTAATATGTAAACACATTTAACAAGTTAAATGTTAAAATACTTTCGTTAAATACTAGTTTAAAACGTTGTATTAAAAAAATAAAAGTTTATAAACTTCTAATTAAAAAGTATTAAAAAGTTGGAATAATTTTAAAACATTTACATTATATAGATTTTTTTTTTGTTTTTTTATTTGCTAAGTAATATTTTCTTTTTATTTTTTTACAAGACTCTCCATATTTATTGTTACATATTTAATTTATTTAATTTTATTGTTAGATACTATTTACTTTAAAAATATTGTATATGCTTAAAAACAAAAGAAAAAAAAATTAATAAGAGGCTATATAAAATATTTCACAAAAGAAAAATATATTTATTAATTAAAAAGTAAAGTTTAAAATTGATCCATATTTAATTAATATTTAGAAAATTATGAATATTTTAAAAATAACGTTTGAAAAAAATAATACAAACAAATATGAAAAATAAAATCGTTATTAAAAAGTGAAGAAAATGACTTATCAGAGTGATTAACTTTTCGTTTTTTCACATTTAGACAACTTTCTTTTTTTTATACACATTTAACCATTTAACTTGTTAATTTTTTCACATATTATCATTGTCACTTGCTATAGCCGGTGACAATAACAATATGCAAACACATATAACAAATTAAATGGTCAAATGTGAAAAAAAAATTATTTAAATGTGAACAAAACAGCAAATATTACACTTTTAATTTTCCCAAGATTTTATTAGAAGATGTTTCTAATTGTGTTTCCCAATCCCATCTCTATATAAATTATTAAAAAAAATGAAATAGTAAATAGAACTCCTCCATGACTGTTATAAATACTGCAACAGCCTCAGCACCAATCCCATCTCTATATAAACAAGTACCAAGGAGTCACATCCCATACTCACATCCTAACCCCACAAATCACTCGACTTTCCTCCAAGTCTTGAGAGAACAAACCAAATGGCTTCTAGCAGGCTTCTCATCCTATGTTTCCTGGTTGCTCTTACTCTCTCCTACAGCATGGAAGCTACCATGGCCCGGCGCCTCTTGAACATCCCTGGGTTCCCCAACATGGGTAATACCTTCCCATTGCCTACACTACAATCTCCACCATTGCCCACATTCCCACCATATAGCGCAACCCCTTCAACCGGAACAGGACTTCCGTTCTTCCCTTTCCCTACCCCATCAACTCCATCGTTCCCCAGGATCTTTACTCCTCCAGCCACCGGAACCACCAACCCTTGAACGTTGACCACCATCAGACCACAATTTGCTATCTTCTTAATTCCCTTAGTTTTTTTTTACTGTGTTTTAGTGTGCTATCTAGAGTGACTAATCTCATTCCATGCTTGAGCATGGATGGATGTATGTTTTAGGTATATGAACGAGATCATATGTTAATGTTGGTTATTGTTTCCATTTCGGTGTAGGTTTCTTCGTCCAGTGTGAGTGTTTTGTAAACCTTATATTTGTTCCAAGTACTTTGTTATCGTTAATGACTAGCTATATATATTATGTTTTGTTGGCCTTTTTTATTTTGTATTGCACTTCCAGTACCTTTTGTTTTATCTTCTGATATTTTCATTATAACAAAAAAAACAAACTTAAAGTACCTAATTATGACACAAAAACAAAGTATGTGGTCTCATCGGGTCTATCTGGCAAACGAGAAGCTAGTAGCTGACAAGAAAATTATTAATTAAGCTACAGTATAAAGATATTTGACAATCTTGTTTACAACATCAGATCTTTGACAATCTTCTCTACAACATCAACTTTCTCATAAGTTCCTTTTCAGGGAAATAGATTTTGAAATTAGATATTTGAAAAGTTTAGAGACCTCGTCTTTCCTTCACGAAAAGAAAACCCTTCAAACATATCGGATATGAACGATACTTGTACATACGTGAATACAAAGAAAATAGGAAATTACCACTAATAGACATTTTTTTGGGGGGATTTCAAAAAATAGACAAAAAATCAAATTTCTAGGTATAGAAATGGATTCCGCAAGGTGAGCTCCAATGAATCGATGTGGCAAAAAAAAAAAAAAATCTGAAAATCCATTCCGCGGAGCTACCTCCGAGGAATGAACTCATTCTACGGAGGTAGCTCCGAAGAATTGATCATCAAATTTTTTTTTTCCACCTATGCAAAAATCTCCGATTAAATGACTAATTTTTTTTACACCTTACATTCATTCAAAACATTATCAAGAAAATTTCATACTATCATAATTTTTTCTTGAAAATAATTAGTTGGGGAATGAGTATAAGCCCGAATTGAAAAATCGATGTGAAAAAAAATCTGAAGATCTATTCCTCGGAGCTACCTCCGCGAAATGACTTCATTCGTTTGAGGTAGCTCCGCAGAATGGATCTTGAGAATTTTTTTTGCCACATCGATTCCTCGGAGATTAAGTTGATTTTGCGGAGCCCTCAGAACTCACCTCCGCGGAATCCATATCTATGCCTGAAAATTTGATTTTTTTTTTCTATAATAATAATAATAATAATAATAAGGTCTAACTAAATCACTCGTTATTTGAATCCCCAAATTCATTGTTTACAACTTCACATATATGAATAAAAGAATCCCCAAATTTAGTAGCTTGAAAAATCAATTGTAAAAAGCAAATGATACCAATTTTGTGAATATGGTACGTTCGTACTATGATCTTTAAATGAAGTAACAACTAACTTTGTAGATAGAAATTTATTGGTGTCATTTAATTTTTTGTTGTTGGGATTTATTAGTGTAGCGTTGTATCTCTAGCTCTTGTAAATAAAAAAGCATTATCTTGTATTATAACATTAAGGACAAAATACTAGATCAAGGGTCATTTGAAACAAATAGGGTTGACAAGAATAATGAAATCATTGATGTCAAAATACTAGATCAAGGGTCAATTGAAACAATCTGGAATATGACTGTTCCTAAAAAACCCACTAGTCCACTAGAGCAAATCTATAACGAGTTGTTGTGAATGTAAGATCCTCTATTTTCCCCTTGTACAACATTAAGCCTGAAAAAGAAGGCCGTCTTTTGATTTAGTGTTTATAGCGAAGGAGGTCCGGTCCATTCTCAAGAGTTGGTGGGCAGTGGGCTGACATCCCCTCTGCACCGGCCTGTTTAGTTGATGTTTCAAGTTGGTTCTTGTCAGAAAAATCAGATCAATTATTATGGTGGTCCTCATGGTGTTTGTGTGTGTAATATTTTGAATCAAAGAAATGCAAGTGTTCAACAACAAAGTGGAGAATAGTAAGGATTTCGCTGGCGAGATTAAATGTTAGCTTTTAACTACATAAAGATTAGAGGTAGAAATGGTGCACATTTTAATTGGTGGGATTGGAGTTATAATTTGATTAAAGAATGTGTCCATAATCTTAACTTCTCGGCTAGCTTTTCGTTTATAAATTTCATATTGTTCTAAAAAAAATTAATATAAATAAATTTGTACAATATTCGGGCCGTCAACCAGTATCCTACCATCTAAGGTATATAACCCACATGTCTCTCCCAAACCAGCGCCTTCGCCTTAAGTCTTTGGAAGGTCCGTTGAAGTCATACACATCTTCAACTTCTCATAAATCACTTCCTTCGTATACATGTCTTACCAATAAAATGACATTTAGTAGAAAAAAATATTGTTAAAATCGAAAAAGTGTCATTAAAACCTCATGGGCAATCAACGGCACAAAAAAATGTCATTAAAGACCTTTAGTGGTATTTTTTGGTTGTGTTGTTGGAACGATACTGGGTTTTAGTGGCAATCTTTTGTAATGTCACTATAGCATTTTTTGAGTTTTAGTAACACCTTTTCATGCCATTATTTTTGCTAAAATAAATATCATTTTCTTATTATTAGCGGCACCTTATGTCACAACACTTTTGAGTTTTAAGTTTTAGTAACACCTTTTTATGCCACTATATTTGCTAAAATAAATTTCAATTTCCTATTATTAGCGTCACATTTTTTTTACCATAAAATTTTATTAAAAAAATTAGATTTGACTTCTTTTTTTTATTTAAATGGAATATAAAATAACTAAAAGACGATTAATATAAAAGATAGGAAAACACAATATCATAACTTAATTAAAGCTTAACTTTTCCACAACAATATTCTTAGTATTTTGAACATAAATGCAATAAAAAATTAATAAGTCTAGATGTTCTCCTAGTAACATTCAAAATATAAAATTATCTAACTAAATACTTGGTGGAGAACAAACATGAAGTTTGATTGGAGATGAACTTTACATCTTGTTTATCTAACTTACAATAATTTTTTTTTTTGACATAAAAACATTCAATCAACTTCCTCCATACAGTTTACCCGATTTTGGAGTTCCTTTCTAGGTGATTCTTCTGAATGTGTTTACCTTCACAAACAAAGAAATAAACTTGATACAAGCTCGATAATTTAAACATAATGTCATAAGAGAATGTACATAAAACAAGGAAATCATGCAAGTTTTTTTAAATATGACATGTACATCTAGTGAGTCCAAGGACAATATGTGTTGTGCAGGTGGGCATGTCTCAAGGTTTACATTTGCACTCCAAATTAATTTTGTATTCATCAAGTGTCTATATTTATATGGTAGCATTAAGTTGGTCAGTTGTAACCATATGAAAATGTTTCACCCTTTGTAGTTGTAAGAAAGTTATATTTGCCAAGTCAACATGGCATGTAGAAAAATTACTTACAAGTAAAGTATATCATTTACCTTAGTCAAAGCAACATGTTTTAAAAATTGATTAATGATGGTTAAGTTTGCAACATGTTTTAAAATTTTATAAATTGGGTTGTTACAACTGAAATGTTAAACATTAGGCAGTTTACCTAATCGTGTAATAATATAGATGAGGTAAGACCACGTATATAGAACACAAGGGAAAGGGGTGTGATTAAACACCAGGCAGTTTACCTAATCGTGTAATAATATAGATGAGGTAAGACCACGTATATAGAACACAAGGGAAAGGGGTGTGATTTTGGTTCAGAAAATATAACTATAATACAACTATTAGATAGAAAAGTAAATAGGGGGGGGGGGGGGAGGGGGTAATGTAAATTCTATTTGTAACACCCCAAACTTTTTTAAACTTTAAAATTCTATAGTTTTAGTAAAATCATTACGAGTATTAACCCACATTTAACAAAAACCGGTTCCACAAAAACATTTATGATTAAAACATCGGGTGTTACCATTAAGCAGCATACAAACCATAGCAAGCAAATAAGAATTACGTCAATATCATTTAAAAAGGAACATAACAAGTTCCACTCCATTCTCTATATCTTAACTTCTATCTTCTATCTATCATCTTTCTCCTTTAATACAACTTGGGGTACATGGCATAAAAAGAGATAAGTAAGACAAAAATATCTTGTGAGCTACTTGAGTTTTAGACCATAAAACATTTCAATCATTTTCAAGAAAAACTCCTTCCATTCATACCATAAAGCGTTTTCAATCATTTTCAAGAAAATCATTTCATACATAACGTAACATAGTTTAGACCATAAAACCTTTTCAAGCATTTTCAAGGAAAACTCTTTTCCTACACATCAAAAATATCATTTCATATCTTATCATTTCATTTCAAAAGACATATTTCCACATTTCATTCTCTTTTATCACTAAGGGCTAATTTTGGTATTCAATTGTGGCCATTTTTATACTTAAGGCCTTGCAATATCCCCAATAATATACCAAGGTGGAAAGAACAAAATCAGTCCACCAGTGCATCATTTCCGTTAGGAAATCTATCTCGCGAAGGGGAAGTTCCCCCTGATAGATTCCTCTATATCCCGTTACGGGACATCATGGCTGGAGCAATTTATTATTTTCATCACATTCCATGCTTTACACATTCCATGTTAAGGTATGAAGTCTTGTCTAACATGGAGCACTTACAACTGAATGGAGCACTTAAGGTTCATTGAGCATGTGACAAAGGAATGGATTATCTGAGAAGGTAATGGATCGTCTGACAAAGGAACAGATCAAGTGACAAAGGAACGGATCATATAGAAGGGCGTTTGGAGCATCTCGAAGAGGTTTGGAGCACTTGGGAGTGATATGGAGCAACAAGGGGACCTTGTTACGCCGTCTGCTGAAAACCTAGGCCAAGAAGGATGTTGTTGGGCCAAGGACACTCCTTCTTGTGCCAATATACTCCCTCTTGGACCATGTGGTATCCCTCTTGCGCCATGAGGTACTCCTGTTGCACCA